ATAGCATCATAAGATATTTTCAAGTTAAATATATTTTTGTCTTCTGTTGATAAATGGATACGTTCCAACTCTTCTTGGCAAACTACATTTACTTAAAAAAAACTCTTCAGAATTCCATATACACACAAATATTATCAGTCATCATGGAACTGGAAATTAACTGTCAGATTTCTTCTTAACCTGGCTATTCTGGAAGAATAATCCACTGAGAGGCCAGTATTGAAGATTTTGATTAGTGAAATAAGGAAATAAATTTCTGGCAGCCATATATAATTATTCACTTATTATGTATTATTTACACCCTCATTTTGGAGCATCCACTAGGTTCGAGGCGTTGGGTTAAGTGCTAGCAATGCAACAGTAAATCAGAAAGAGTCCTTGCCTCTCTTGCAGCCTAATAAAGACAAATCAAGGAACTTCACTGCTGAAGATGTCTCAGAGACCACAGTCCAGAATTCCCCAACCCCCAATTCATGAATCAGAGAAGCAGATTTTTATACATTTTTCTTTATCTATATTGATTGATAGCAGACCCAAATTCATTTCTCTCGACTATTCTGTTGCAGGCAGGATTCTATGAAAGCCCCCACAATCTTTCCCACTGCTGTTACTCCCATGATTTCATTATATAATACTGCAAAAAAGGATATTACAGACATAATGAAGGTTACTAATCCATTAAGATGGAAAAATCATCTGGCTCACCTAACCTAATTATTTGAGCCCCTTAAAAGCAGAGAGTTTTCTATGGACAGTAACAGACGAGAAAGAACATTCAAAATGTGAAAGAAATTGATGTAAGGGAGGCTCTCTGTTGCTGGGATAGAGAGGGCTATGAGGGAAGGACCTGAGGACATTCCCTAGGAGCTGAAAGCAGTCCCCTGATGACAGCCAGCAAGAAAGTGGGGGCTACGAGCTGACAACTTGATTTCAGCCTTCACCAGAAAACTCTGGTCATCCCAAACTTCTGGCCTACCAAACTGAGAGCTACCAAATTTGGTAATGCAGCAATAGAAAAGTAATGCACATTGTTTTTTCTCTGTATGTCTTTCCTGGGGACTACTTAGCATGCTACAGTACAACTGGAGCTGAGATTCATGGATTTCAGCTACTTTCTTTATGTCCCAAGGTGGAAATTGAAGTCCAAAATTTCTAGTTATATTGGCCTTTTTTTGTCTGTTTCAGTTAATTGATTTATTTTTTATTTTGAAACAATCTCAAACTTCTAGAAAGCTTGGAAGGATAGTACACATATTTTTTTTTTCAGGAACCATTCGGGTGCACACATTGGTGACATGATATAATGTCACCTCCAAATACTTCAGTGCAATGCATTTTTTTTTCTCAACAAGGGCATTCCCCTACATACTTACAATACAACCATCAAAATCAGGAACTTAAGGTCACTATAGCTCTCGGAACTCAGTCAGCTTTCACAAAGTATCCAAATAATTTCCTTTACATCCAAAGCTCCATTTTGGAGTCACGTGTTGTGTTTGGTTAGTCTCCTTCAACTCGAAACAGTTTATTATAGAATCGCTTGACTTTCAGGACCTTGAAACTTGAAGATTACAAGCCAATTATTCTGGAAAATGTCCTTCAATTTGGATTGTTCTGATTTTCCTTCATGATAGTCATATACTTTTGTAGGAATGTTAGAGAAATAATCTGTGTTCTTCTCACTACTATAAAATGGCACATAATTTTATTTTGTACCAATACTAATGATGTTAACTTTGATCACTTAAGGTGGTGTCTGCCAAGTTCTCCACTGTAAAGTATTATTTTTTGCTGTGTAATTAACAAATATTTGTGGGAAAGTAATTTCAGACTATGTGAATATCTTGTTATCAAATTTTTTATTTATTCATGCCTAATAATTTGATCAACACAGACTCATGGTTTATTATTTTATTCCATGTTTTATGATCTGTTGTTACCATTTATTTTGGTACTCAAATTGTCAGAAATTTGGTCAAAAGGAGCCTCTTGGAGTTGCTTCAGTGTTATTTTGACAAGTTCCAAGTCCCTTTCTTCTTTCAGCACTTTCTTACTTTCTGATACTTCAAGATGTCCTGGAAAAAGGTAGCCTTTTCTCTGAGAAATACTGTCTCTTTTTAATAAAAAGTGATATTTAGAAACCAAGATCTCGACACTGAGTTCACTCATTGCTTTTAGGATGTTGTTATCCCTAGGAACACTGGGTTTAGTATCTCCAAAACACTGTGCTCTCTGCTTCCCCATGACTTTTTTACACGCTGTTCCGTCCACATGATTGTCCTTTCTTCTTCACATAGTGAACTCTTCCTACTCTTTCTTTAGATCAAGGCTTAAAATCCTGCTTCTTCAAGGAAACTTTCCCTGGATGCCTAGATTGGTTGAACTCTACACTCATAGTGTCATGTTCTTTTCAATCTGGAATATAGCCATTATTTGGAAACATATACCTCCTCCTCATTAGACTAATAAACTTTGAAAGACAAAATCTGATTTTGATCAACATTGTATCACTAGTGCCTAGCACAACTCCTAACACATAGTAGTTCTCAACAAATATTTATGGAAATAATTAATGTGTGAGACAGTGAATGAGTGAATGATTGAAACCAGAACTAGACCCCAGTGCTTTCCTGGCTATTCCTCAGTGGACACTTAGAACTTAAAAGGGCAGAGCTCACTGAAATATATTCTCTAAATTCTTAGACATATGGCACAATTTAATTCTTTCTAACAGAACCCTGAATTTTTGCACACTGGATCAAATAATTTTCCACATTATTTTTGAATTTAATTCTTCTTGAAATGGATTCAGACAAAAGTGGAAAACCGGCTACCCTCTGAGAAGGTCATTGTGTTTGCCACTATTGAGTTAATCACTTGGGCTTATTCTCCATTAGATTTATTATATTCTGCACAACTTAGCTAAGTTGCAAGAAAATAAAAAGCTACAGAAGAATATTTAATTTGATTGCATAATACTAAATCTTCACCACCTCCTGGGTCCCTAATTAAATCTTTTTTTTTACACAGTACCTTGTTTTTGAATATGGGCAGTTCTGAAAGTCTCAGGAAGGGAATTTATGATACAGGAAATCCAGAAACTCACTTTGAGACAATGTGGACTTCTAATAGTTCCACCATTGTCTCTACCGGAAGGCCAAACATACAATTGTCTTCTTAACTTGATGCTTTTATGGTTTTGCTCCTGGTTTTGAATCAGACCTAGACTCAACAAAGACCCACCTATGGTTTCTGCCTGTCCCCAGCTGTAACTCCAATAACTGTGCTTTGGCATTATGTCAGACCTTTTGGCATCATTTGAAGCATTTGATTATTGAATTCTGTTGACTTGCTAGAAAGAAAGTGGGGTCAGAAGGGCAGGCCTAAAATAATTATACTTCTTTCAGTCCTGAGAGATACATTAGGAGAGTTTTCTCATTTTACTGTTTCTGACATGGACTTCTGAGACACTTGGTATTTTTTCTTCCTTTCATCGTATGCACTGTTTATTATAAAAACAGAGAATCTCTCAGCAACTTACACACTGAAAAATTGTTATTCAAGATTTCTCCTTTTGCCTGACTTGCACTGTGGTGTTCTTTATTCTAAGGTATCTGGCAAAAGTGAACCTATTTTTTTCAACCTGGTTGAACCTGGTTTGAAAAAACTGCTGGTAGTTCTAAAAAAAAACATGAGAAATGAAGAACAGCACATGTGAGCTAGGAATCTCTCTTTTGTTCTTGTGAGGCTACAGTGAAACAAAGATTCTTAGCCATACTGAGGCTCTTGTAACTTGTTCAATACTTCACACCAGAGTCTATAATAATTATAAATTCCAGAAAAATTCCTCGATTCTTCAGCTTCTTTTCAGTGGCATATTTTCCTCATTCACTAAGTTATGTTTCAGGTGGTTTAGCATTTGATTATGACTCATTTAATGTGATTTTTCAAAAGAACATTTGTTATTGCATCACATTGCAAAAATAATAGAAATGGATGCAATTCATGGATGTGATTCAATTAACTAGGACTTTTCCCCTACACTGAGAAAATGATAACGGGGGCTTTACTAAGCAAACTAAAATATCCTAACCAAGACAACTCAGTATTCAAAGAATCAGAGCAAGCTTACAAAAGTCTCCTGTAATGAGAAGCCTGTCTGAAAATACAATTTTCAGCTTTGAAGTGAATAAATGCTGAGCTGCTAGACTCTACCACTTTCTACGCAGAAATGCACCTTAATTGTTGTATCACTTCTGAATTTTGGAAGGAAAATTGGCCATGTGTGTGCCATTTCTAGCGAAGGGAAAAAAAGGTAATTGGGTTTCTGTATACCATGCCTTCAGTAATGGTCTGGAAGATGGAACTGCAAAAGGCTCTTTTTTTGTTCTAGGACTATATTTCATTTGTCAAAATGAATGCAGGATATCAGATCATTCCTAATACTAATGTTCTCCCAGTTGAGCAGAGCACCGCTCTGTACCAGGCATTAGCAAAGCAGAGCACGCTGACTAGAAGAGACTTGCTGGTGATATTTTAGCCTAGTCAAGTGATGGCCTCTGACCACAAAGAACATTGGCTGGGGCTCTTTCAAATTATCCAAGGGATTTTCAGGTATCTAGTCTATTTTTCTGTAAAGAAATCCTCTTTAACATCCCACCAAAAGCTACTTAACTTAAAATAATATCCTACAAATACCATATTACTGGGAGGAATATAAAATACCACTTTATCTACTGGGGCAGCTGAGTAGGGGTGATGTTATTATGGCAAATGTGTACATTTCTGGCGTAAATATTTACTTAGCTCTGCTTGTCAACAGCTGAGTCATTTCTCTGTTCTCCCACTTGGAGTCATTTGATACCCAGTTAGGATCACCTCCCTTGGAGGCTGCAGTGTTTATCTTCCAAGTGCTAATATTAAAATATAGTTCTTGATTCAGGGGACGGCAAGCCAGGGGATTTCTGAGCATCATTCCTTGTCTTATTGAGTCTTCCATAGCGACAGCCACCTTTAAAGAATATAAATCATTGAGCTACCTGTTTCACTAAAAACCACAGGTACCTTCTCTGACAGAAGTGAAAATCTATTTTAAATCATATTTAAAATCTAAATTTAAAAGTATTCATATATTTAGAAAATTTTAATTGTTCTAGCTTTTAAACATGTTCATGAAAAAAATTTTTGAACTGTTTAGAAAAAGGGAATAATTTAGGAAGTCTACAAAATGTCTGAAAAAATTAGTTCAGTTAAGGTACTTTCTTACATAGAAAATTAAATCACTCTGTAGAATTAGAAACTAGAATTTGCTTGCTCTTTTAGGGTGGAAACCATACCTAGCAGTTAGTAAATTGTTAGCAATTATTTGTTGAATAAATGACTAGATGGAATATTAACAAAATCAGGATTGTATTAGATAAAAAGTATAATTAAATAATAGTACAATTATTTAATTCTTTAAGTGCTAGGTAACATGATTTTGACTTATCCAGTGGAATTTTTGGTGGATTTATCTTCACCTACAAGAAAGGCATCTTGGGAAATTATTGGGATGATTGGTATAAATAATGTATAAAATTGTTCCTCGGATCTTTATATTCACGCTGTCTTGGTCATTTTCCTTTTTCAAAACATAGTTTCAGAGCCATCCTTTGTGAAGAGAACTTCAAAATGTCAAGGAGAATTCACTGTCTACAGAATGGGTGAGTAGAGTCACTTGGCAGGTGACAACCCAATGTCCAAAACCAAGGAACACTAAACTGGGAATTTTTTAACTGTCTCCTACAAGAAGGAATAAGGGGATTTCATTACTTGCAATAAGTACAGAGAACAACATGGATAGCTCCCAAAGCAGTGCCTCCCCAAGCTAAGGGCTGGGTCAGATTTTATAAGCATAGGGTAATGAGGTATGATCTGACTGGATCTTGGAATAGGGTGATGTTCAATTGTCAGGGGGATAATTCAAGATATCAATTCATTTTTTATTTCTTCTTCTTGCGCCCATTCCATGATGGGTCTTACATTCACCTATAAGAAGTGATCTGTTGGTTAGGAATGGCTAAGAAATATGTTTCAAGTATGAGCTTATTCTTCAGACAATTCTTGTACTACAGCCCACTTCCTGGCCTATACTCTTAACATTCATGTCTTCTTGGTAAAATTACTGTATTAGTCTGTTTTCACACTACTGATAAAGACATACCTGAGACTGGGCAATTTACAAAAGAAAAATGTTTAATTGGACTCACAGTTTACGTGGCTGGAGAAGCCTCACAGTCATGGTGGAAGGCAGGGGGGAGCAAGTCACATCTTATATGGATGGCAGCAGGCAAAGAGAGAGCTTGTGCAGGGAAACTCCCATTTTTAAAACCATCAGATCTCATGAGACTCATTCACTATCACGAGAACAGTGCAGGAAAGACCTGCCCTCATAATTCAGTCACCTGCCACTGGTTCCTCTCATGACATGTGAGAATTATAGGAGTTATAATTCAAGATGAGATTTAGGTGGGGACACAGCCAAACCATATCAACTACCAAAGCTTTTGAAAAAACATTTTATTTTGAATACTGTCACACTTACAAAAAAGTTATACAAATATTGTTGGACTATGCCTGTATACCTTTCACTGAACTATCCCAAATTACTGTATTATTAAGCAAATCTACATATTTTCTTTTTGAATTTTGCTAGTTTCCCCCTAATGTCTATTTTCAGTTCTAGAATCCAATGGAGGAGGTCATATTGCATTCTGCTGTCATTCTCCTTTGACTCCTGTAATCTGGGATGGTTCCTCAGACTTTGTCTTTCATAACCTTGACTCTTTTGAAGTGTATTGTTTGGTTGTTTTGCAAAAGGTTTCTCAATTTGGATTTTTCTGATGTTTCCACATGATTAAATTCAGTTGTGTAATTTTAGCAAAAATACCAAAGATCAGACAGACATGTCCTCATCGGTGTGTTATATCATTAGGTACATGATGCCAATGTGTCTTATTACTGATGATGTCAGCAATAAGATGAGCATTTGGCTAAGATAGCATCTTCTCCACTATGGATTCTGTATCTCACACATTATTGCTGATTTGTGGATTCATCTCATAGGTGTGAGACAGTGACTTAGATTGCAAAGCCTCTATCTTTCTCTAGTTCTGCATTCACCTTTGCCAACTCTGGGCCACGTGTGTGTTAGCTTTGTAATGAAGAATTCTGACTTCAGTATGGGTATACCACTCATATGAACAAGGTAAGAGATAAAAAGAACCAACAATCATTTCATTCCTGTTTCTGCTTGTGGGTTCCAGGTTTATTTTTTTGTCTCTTCTCTTGCCCCCAGTCTTATGCACATCAAATTCTAGTCACAGACATGCAGACAACAACATTACAGAGACTGATTAGCTAGTTCCCACAATTGCTTATGGTCAAATTATTTATTTACATTATGCTTCTATGACTGATTCCAAAGTTTTGTACTAACAAGTGGATGCTATTATAATACCTAAAAATGCAGGAGTGTCTTTAGAACTGGTTGATAAAAGATAAAAGATATTTTGAAAAAAAAATGTATCAGAAAAAGCCTAAACTTCCTTGAATAAACTAATATAAATCTGGACTTTGAGAATGCTGCTGGCAAGGGGTCCGAAGGAAACCAGGAAAATGTTAAGACTGGATGAGACTGAAATAAGAGAGCTCTTTTGTCATGCAGCAGCAGAAAACCTAGCACACCTGTAATAACTTGGAAAGTAAAAAAATGTGCCTAACAAGCTGGGTGATCTAACTAAGAAAATTTTCAAGCAAAATATTGAAGCTGCCGCCTGGTTTCTTCTGCTGTTTATAGTAAAATGCAAAAAGAGAGAAATAAATTAAGGAAAGAACTGTTAAACAAAAAAGAGCTAGGACTTGATGACTTTAAAAGTTCTCAGCCTCCTCAAACAGCAAACAATGCTAGGAAATGGCTTTCAAGCAAAGAATCAAATTTGGAGCACTACCTGGAAAACACGATCTGGAGATGAAGATGAAGATTTGACTGCAAGGTCTTTTCTTAAGACCTTAGAAAGGCAGTGCCTCAGAGAACTATTCAGTCACACAAAAGGCCCTTTAAGATTAAAGATGTGCCACTGCCACCTTGGGTTGAAAAGGACAGGCAGTACAAAGAGGAAGCTGGAGCCCTAAAAGGTCAGAAAGTAGGCCAGGAAACTACTCATATGAAAACATGTGACATCTTTCATGAAAAAGGGAGGGTGATCCAGCAGGCAGAACCAAGAGCCTCGTTATAGACCAAAGCATTTCCCCCAAAATTCATATGTGGAAGCCCTAACCTCATATGACATGGTATCAGAGATAGGGCTTTAGAAAGACACTTAATTTTAAATAAGCTCATAAGGGTGGAGCCCTGATTGGATAAGACAGGGGTCCTTATAAAAAGAAGAGAAACTAGACTTCTCCCCCGCCTCCGTTTCTCTGCACATACACAGAGGAAAGACCGTGTGAGGACACAGGGAGGAGGCAGCCCTCTGAAAGCCAAGAGGAAAGGCTTCCTTGCTTATACCTTGATCTTGGACTTCTGGCCTCCAGAAGTGTGAGAAAACAATTTTCTGTTATTTATAAGGCACCCAGGTAGTGGTATTTTGATAGCAGCCTAGTCTGACTAGTCTAATCCCAGAGGGCAGAACCAACAGCCAGAGAGAATTACTGGTAGGCCTTAATACCTAATTAAGGAATTTTCAACGTTTGTCCACTTAGATTTCAGAATTGTTATGAGTTAAAACGCACACTCTGAATGAAGAGACCCCCAAACAGGCTTTGTGTGAGCAACGAGGCTGTTTATTCACCCAGGTGAGAGTGGTCTGAGCCCAAAAAGAGAGTCAGTGGAGGGCAGTGGGATCGGAGTTGGTTTTACAGGTTTCGGGTAGGCAGTGAAAAGTTACAGAAGTTACAGTTTAGGGTGGTTTTTGCAAGCTGGGAGGGAGTCCTAGGGTCTGGAGTCACCAGGTTGACCAAGGTCAGTTATAAAGTCCATTTGCCTTATCAATTGAGGTGGGAATAAGGAACAATAGAGAATGTCTCAAAGTTAATTAGGTGCCACAGGGGTTGATCATTCTTCACTTCTGTGGTTTTCCAGTTACTTCAAACTGTTTCCAGGAACTCATCTGGAGTGTCCATGCAGGTCACAGAGATTACCATGGTGTAGTCCACGGCACTGTCAGTTGGCCTAAAAGACCTTACATTATGGATCAGAGACTCCTTCGTGTCCCCCACATTTTTCCTGTTCTTGAAGGAATATTTATAGTTTTTATTCTATCCCTGTTCCACCACTGTATTTTGATGTGTGAGAAGCAGAGAACCTGGATTTTTTTTTTTTTTGAAAGTCTCACTCTATCGCCCAAGCTAGAGTACAATGGTGTGATCTCTGCTCACTGCAACCTCTGCCTCCCAGGTTCAAGTGATTCTCCTGCCTCATTCTCCCGAGTAGCTGGAGTTGCAGGCACCTGCCACCACGCCCAGCTAATTTTTGTATTTTTAGTAGAGACGGGATTTCACCAGGTTGGGCATACTGGTCTCGAACTCCTGACCTCAGGTGATTCACCTGCCTTGGCCTCCCAAAGTGCTGGAATTACCTGGCCCCAAATGATACCCTTCTCCTAACTTCAAACTTTCTGTTTCCAGAAACTCACCTGAAGTGTCCACGCAGGTCATACTATTGACATACTTCTGAAAAATAGAATATAGAGGAAGCAATGGTATGTCATTTGAGATTAGATTACGAAGAGACCCTGGCTTCTACCTGGAGATGCTCCCCAAATCACTCTTTAAGGGAAACCTCTTCCATGTTGTAGAGTTTCCCTGTGGAGAGAACCATGTGGACAAGAAATGGATGTCTTTGGCTAACAGCCAGTAAGGACCCGAGACCTGCCAAGAGTTACATAAATGTGTTTCTGGAAGAGGATATTCATCTAGCCCAGCCTTGTATGATTGAAGATCCAGCCAACAACTTCATGGCACCCTTGCAAAGCATCTTGATCCTGAGAAATGCACTTAAACTTTGCCCAGATTCCTGACCCACAACTTTGGGATAATGAATGTCTGATGTTTTTAGCCACTAAGTTTTGTTAATTTTTGTGTGCACTAGAAGGTAATAAATACATTTGTTATAATGGCATCTCTCCTTACAATTTTTTTCAATGTATCCTTAAGTTTACCTCCCTTCCAATATTTGCTTTTACCCTGAGTTTTAGGCTATTAATCTCTTAGATCGGATTATAGTAATTATCTACATAATTATATATTATAATTATTGCTTATATAATGTATACTATAATCTATATATTATTATATAGATTAACTATTATAATACATAGTAGAAAAAGATTAGCTTGTTATTATAGGGTATTTTAAATATATACAAAAGTAAAGTAAACAAATATAATAGACTCCCATGTCCCTATCACCCACTTTCAACACTTAATGGTCAATATTGATATAACACATTATTGACACAACAACCCATAGTCAATATCATTTCATCTCTACCTTTACTCACTCCTCTCTCTCAGATTATTTTCAAGCAAGTCCCAGACACATCATTTATTCTATAAAATTTTTAATGCGTATCCCTCTTTAGAAAAACATTTTAAGGTTATGAGTCAACCGTAGAAATTATATCAAGGGGTAGTCTGGCCACAGAGATAAGCCCTTCAGAGCAAAGCCAAGTATAGTCATTCATGTTAATATTCTTCTACTCAGGATATGAATAAACTATTTGAAAATGTTAAGACTGTATGAGACTGGAGTAAGAGAGCTCTTTGTCATGGACAGGAATTTTGGATTAGAGATTAGCAAGCTGAAGAGAGAGGGAAAACAGTTGAAGGAAGACAGGGAAATCCAGCAGCATGGCAATAGGCTAAAGCCAAAGTGAAATGTATAACCAATGATGATTAACCACAGTGAGAATGATCAAGTGACCTTTAACACCAAGGCTGTCTAACACTGAAGGTTAGATTATATCAAATATGTTGGATATTTTATATATTTCTCATTTAGTCCCCCAAGGCCTTCAGGAAAATCTGCTATGTACATATCCTATACTCAGAGGACTTTAGTAGTAAACAGTTTGGACGGTGTAAAGCAGAGTGAAATATGGCCTTACAGATTGGAAGTGAAAGGCTGAGAAGAACTTAATAATTCAATAGAGCAAGAACTAGAAATCAGAGTGATCAGAAAAAATGCAAGTGACATACCCTCATTAATCAAACCCAACAGGAATTAATGTAGCTATGGAAAAATATGCTAGGTTTCCAATAATACGTGGGAAGACAATTCAATAGATTTTTTTTTTTTTTTTTTTTTTTTTTTTTTTTTTGCTTAAACACTGAAGGAAAAGTGACTCTAGGAATCTAGAGAATATGTCATTACTCCAAGAGGCTGCCATTTTGGTTGCACACACAGGCACACAGACTCACCTACAAATGTACCTCCTGGTGATGAAATCAAGAACAATCCTAGTACTGATGCCTATTGTAGTATCTGTAAGTTATTATGCATTTTGCAAAAGAAAAAAAGTTTTACCACCTGGTTCTACTGTCAGTGAACTACCAGAAATGATCATGTACAAATATAAATGGCCCTGTTGAGTACATCTGCAGAATACAGATATGTTTTTTTTTCCTGCAAATTGCTCAAAGTGGGCTATTAAGGATACAAAAATAGAACAAGGATATTATACTCAACTGATATGAAAAAAGATAGCTTTTAAGTTGAGTCAGTGGATTACAGTTTTGGGGTAAATAAGAGTTCTATTGAAGAAATTTTTTTAATTATCAGTTGTAAAAATCTTGTGGCAAATAAAATCCAATTTACTATGTCTCAAAACATTTTTTTAAAACAGTAATTTTGGGTTTTTTTGTTTGTTTGTTTCATATAATCAAGGCTGCATAAGACAGAGAGAATTGTATATAAGAATTCCCTACCCTGGTCTTAAAAATGTAGCTTTTTTTAGTAACAGCACCCATGATTCACAACCCTACCTACCTATAAAACTGGGAGTTTTCATCTCAATCATCTAACTCACTGTACTGGAGGAAGACTTTATTTTTCTCGGATTTTATTGTCAAACACAGAGGAATAATGTTACAGAGCAATTTCCTCTCTATTGCCGATAGCAATGATAAAACCAAAAATGTGTACAAGGGTAAAATGTGGTGTCAATCAAAAAACAATCAATTTTACCATATTCAGAGTGTTTTTTTTTTTAAATAAAAGTATCTTTCTGGTATAAGTATTGACTTGTCCTTGATTTCTGAAAGGAGGGTGGTATTGCAGGATATGGTGGAAGGATAGCCATTATCTCATTTCTCTCTTACAGATGAGTTATTGCAGATTTAGAAGTTACAAATTGCCCTCTCCCAGTAATCCATTATATTAGTCAGGATTCTCTTTTAGGGACAAAACTAATAGGAGATATATATATATATATATATATATATATATATATATATATATGTGTGTGTGTGTGTGTGTGTGTGTGTGTGTGTGTGTGTGTGTGTGTTATTATGAAGTATTAGCTTATTATTAACTTAATACTTAATATTAAGTTAATATTAAGGAGCTTATTAAGTGTTAACTTACACGATCACAAGGTCTCACAATAGGCTGTCTGCAAGCTGAGGAGCAAGGCAAGCCAGTCCAAGTTCCAAAACTGAAGAACTTGGAGTCTGATATTTGAGGGCAGGAACCATCCAGCATGGGAGAAAGATGAAGACTGGGAGGCTAGGCCCATTTCTTCTTTTCACATTTTTTTCTGCCTGCTTTCTATTAGCTGCAAGCTGATTTGATTGTGCCCACCAAATTAATGGTGGATCTGCCTTCCCCAGCCCACTGACTCAAATGTTAATCTTTTGGCAACATCCTCACAGACACATGCAGTATTAATACTCTGCATTCTTCGGTCCAACCAAATTGACACTCAGTATTAACCATCACAAGTCCACCCCTTGTCAACTTGAACCCATATACATCTACTGGATATCATATACAACATTCAAATGAAGACAATAATAAGGTCATAATTACGCCTATCTTAATACAGCTATCCTTCGTACAACCAGAAATGCCAGTCTCCAACTCAAATACTATCACATAAAGTTAACAATACTTAAATGCTGATATGAGGTCAATAAATCTTATGTTACATGATAAAGGAAAAGAAAATAAAATGAAGATATTTTCTTAGTACAAGTGTATATGTGCACAAACATGTTTTTAACAAAAGAAAGAGGAAATACTCGTGACAGTTACAGTCCTCTTTTCTACAGCTGATCATGTAGTTGGAGCTGGTATTGATGACTGCCTTCTTCTACTACCCATTCTGTATTTCCTTTGCCTTCAGCAAGCACCTCAGCAGGTTGCTATTTTTTTCCTCGTGGAGTAACCCAAACCTTCATTCCTGAGAAGCCTGGGCCATTTGTAGTCCTGCCTGGATTGGGCTGTTGTAGCTTCCCATTGGCCTTAATCACATGGCAGGGTAATATTAAGAGATACCCTAATGGATCTCCTGTATTCCATACAGACTGTTCCTTACTTCTGTTGTGGAGTAGTAGACTGATTTCATCTTGATAGTGCCAGGTCAATCACCCCAGCCAACACTGTAACTCCCTTCTTAGCCTGTTGACTAAGTGACTACCTTTAAGTAGGAGGACCCCAAAGTGTCCAGGTGGCAATCTTAACTCCCAGTTTAATTAACTTGTTGTGTCTCCTGGTGGCAGCGTTCCTCCCTCTGTAACTAAGACTTCTAGGCCAGAAGAACATAATGTCATGGGAACAGGAAGCAATCATTTTGCTAGTGGATCATGAGGGGTGATAGTGAGTGGTGCCACTTTCACTTCCACCCCTTGATTCCTGGAGCTATGAATCCTGGCTATGGGAGAAACAGTATCATACATTGGATGCTGATTCAGACCATACATTGTCTTCTGGAGAACTTGGCCCCAGCCCTGCAAAGCATTATCACCTAGTTGGCCTTGTAATTGTGACTTCAAAAGGCCATTTCACCATTCTATCAATCCAGCTGCTTCTGGGTGATGGGGAACATGGTAAGACCAGTGAATTCCATGAGCATGAGCCCACTGCCACACTTCTTTAGCCATAAATTGAGTGCCTTGATCAGAGGCAATGTTGTGTGGAATACCATGGTGTTGGATGAGGCATTCTGTGAGTCCATGGATGGTAGTCTTGGAAGAAGCACTGTGTGCAGGAGAGGCAAACCTATATCCAGCATAAGTGTCTATTCCACTGAGATCAAACCTCTGCATTTTCCATGATGGAGGAGGTCCAATATAATCAACCTGCTACCGAGTAGTTGGCTGATCACCCTGAGGAATGATACCATATCAAGGGCTCAGTGTTGGCGTCTGCTACTGGCAAATTGGGCACTCAGCAGTGGCCATAGCCAGGTCAGCCTTGCGGAGTGGAAGTTTATGTTGCTGAGCTCATGAGTAACCTCCATCTCTGCCACCATGGCCACTCTGTTCATGGGCACATTGGGCAATGACAGGGGTGCCTGGGGAAAGAGGCTGAGTGGTGTCTATAAAACAGGTCATCCTATCCACTTATTAAAATCCTCCTCTGCTGAGGCCATGCATTGGTGAGCACTCACATGGGATACAAATATCTTCACAGTTTTTGACCACTCAGAGAGGTCCATCCACATATCTCTTCTTCAGATTTCTTTGTCACCAACTTTCCAATCATGCTTCTTCCAAGTTCCTGACCATCCAGCCAAACCATTGGCTATAGCCCATGAATCAGTATATAGTTGCACATCTGGCCATTTCTCCTTCCATGCAAAGTGCACAACCACGTGCACTGCTCAGAGTTCTGCCCACTGGGAAGAGTTCCCTTCACTGCTGTCCTTCAGGGATGTTCTAGAAAAGGGCTGTAGTGCCGCAGCTGTCCACTTTCAGGTGGTGTCTGCATATCATGCAGAACCAGACCCTAGTATTCTCTTGCTCTGTCAATTGATTATAGTAAACTCCCCATGAGGCTATTGGTGCGGGCTGGGGGAGAGAAGACAGGGTGGCAAGAGTGGAGACCATGAACATTTTAGCCACTTCATCATGTAACTTACTCATGCCTTCAGGACCTGCTCAAG